AACAAGGGTGGGCCCACGGCTCATGGCGGTTCACAGATTAACTGTGATTTGTTCTAAAATGCACACGTGTGTAAGGAATGCAAAGCAGAAACTTCATTTTATTTTGGTGCTAAGACTTGTAAATCTATTTTTAGCCACCGGAATTACAAAACAAAGAGTCTTGCTGCAAGTCCACAGATTTTGCTCTGTTCTGTAGCCCCAATAACCATCAGAAGAGACTCGGCTTAACCTCACTGCCTGATAAAACTTCCCTGTGAAATATACACAGATCAATGGCTTCCTGAGATATCACCACAGCATCCTCTAGATGTCACCTTGAGAACGTTCCAGGATGGAGCGGGAGGGCTTCGCACTAGACAAGATAGCACAAAACAGACGCATTCACAACTCGGCAACCTCAATCAATGCGGACTGATGATGTGGTGGTGATGATGTCAATTACTCTGAAAATTAAGCATTGCTCTAAATTAAATTTAATTCATGAAATTATCTAATGTCTCCTCGGAATTTTTTTTATGGATTCTCACACCAACAGAAACAAAAACCTTCCTGTAAGAAATATTTCTGATGGACGCTGATTTCTTTTGAATGCATGCTTTCCCCAAAAATCTTCCCAAACATTTTCTAATTCCTAAGGCTGCTCATGTCATCACCTGAGGCATCTGAGAGAAGAGGATGTCACAGAGTTTAAAGGCAGAAACTAGCTATTCCTGGAACATGAGGCGATTTACCCAATCAGCTGTTCCTCTTAAACATGCCCAGTGGATGGTAGGCCGCGAATGACTCCTCTGCTCTCACAGTTCACTCAAACCAAACGAGCTGTCAGGTAAATTCATTATGGGTTTTGAACAGCTGTGTGAATTAAACTGGCCTGGTGACAGGATAAGACAGAGGAAGACTTTTATAAGTGATTTCAGGTAGTGCTGGACCATCTCAGGTACTGTATTATTTCCTGAAATAGTACGAACAGACTTCACCTGGGGGCCAAATAGTCAAAAATCACCCCGCCCAACCAACCCAGGAAAATCATTTTCTTGTAAAGAAGGCAGTCTGTATTAGAGAGAAAGTTTGTAGAGCCAGTGCCCTAAGACTTTTAAGGAGACTGTATAAAAAAAAAAAAAGAATCTCCTGGAGACTGAGAAATAGGGACTTCCACAGAGACCGAGACCTGGAGATAACAACTGACCAGCTCCCGGCATCAGTCTCTGCTGACTCCCAGGCACCGCTGGAGACACTGCTGGCGGTCCTCACACCTATGCAACCAGTCAATGTGGGCCAGTGGGCTGGGGTGGAAACGCGCGCCCCTCTTACCACTGGCCACTTCCAGGAGTGTATGCAGACAATGGCAGCTGCCAGAGAAAGTAAAAACCAAAACAATGTCCCGAAGTGCGGAATCAATTCTTTAAAAACAACCTTTATTCCAGTTCCGTAGGGAACTACCACTAAACACAAAAACAGCTTCCTAAATTCTGGTTGTAAGAGAGAGACAGTTTGTGTTAGACACAAACTGTGATAGGTTAGTGCCTCATTATAAGAACACATGTTGCAAAGCACCTTCTTTCAAAGTCATTTAATAACTTTTTAAAAAGTACTGTATACACAAAGGTAATCTTAAATAGGGGAGAGACCTCACCTCTGCAACATGCCCTGACTATCCTATTCAGGAACTAGGAGCAATTATAGAAGTCTTGATGGAGAAACACTACATGTTATTCAAAATTCTAAAATATGAAAAAATGCTCAATAGTTTGAAACATGTTTACAAATTAGAAATCTACTGTAACAGCTTCTCAAGTATTGCCAGGTGAAAGTGATACTGTAGCAAGTGTATGTTTTCAGAATTTAAATTTAGCTGTTTTCCCCTAGAAAGATACAATTTTAAAACAATAAAATGACATTTAGGCTGGGCATGGTGGCGCATGCCCAGCACCAGGGAAGCTGAGGCAGGAGAACCACCGGCAGTTCGAGGCCAGCCTGGGCTACAAAGTGAATTCAAGGCCAGCCTGAACTGCATAGTGAAACCGTTTCAAAAGAGACCAAAAAAATAAAATTACATTTAATGAGACATGTGCAAAGAATCACAAGCAGTTACTTCACATCTTTGTAAACAAGTTATAACACTGAGTCTCTGAAATATTCCTATTATTATTTTATTTTAAACAACAGTTTAGACGATCATTTCCACAGTTACCTGTATCTTCATCTGTAAGTGCCCAGTGGTCAGCACTTACAAACACACTGCAGCACATAATTAATGATTATCAGCACTGCTCTAAAGGGAGCTGGTCCCAGACCAATCGAGAAGGGGAAGGAGTCATTTTCCCGGCAAGATTGTAACACACTATTCTTTGTAAACTTGAGCTGCCGTCATCTCTTTGTTCTGAAGATTGAAATTACAGATTGAAACTAAGCAAGAGTTTTACGTAAATCTTTGTTCACATCTTCTGCAAAAAGAACAAACTGGGGAAGAACTGAGCACAGATGACTCCCAGAGCTAATCTTCTTGTACTCACAGCCTACCTGTCATCCTGGCAGAAAGCTCCATCTCCTGCCCTGAGGGTCCAGGCACCCAGAGCAGGCTGAGAAAACAACTGTTTATGAACTGGTGCTGAGAGTGAGTCTCCGTCTCTAATGCGCCAGTGCACTTCCCCTTCCTGAGAAGCTGTACGGAGCAGTGCCTTTTTTTTTTTTTTTTGGTTTTTTTCCGGTACCGGGAACCGAACTCACGACCTTGCACTTGCCAGGCAGGCGCTTTGCCGCTGAGCTAAATCCCCAGCCCCGCAGTGCCCATCTTACAGACGCAGCACCTGAGCCAGCGAGAGATATACCCCTCTTTACAGACCCACATCAGCTCGGCGCTCAGGACTCAAGCGCACTCTGACCGAGGCTGTCTATGGGTTCAAAGGGACAAATCACGGAAGGGGAATCTCGGCATAACCAGAATCAGGGCCTGCCAGGTGTGGTCGGCCAGCAAGAAGGGATTGAAACTTAGAAAGAAACCCATGTTAACACAAGCAAATTGAAGGCATTTAGCAGGCGTTTAGGTGGAATTCTCAGAATTCTAAAGGCACTTTTGACATCTATTCCAACACCCATAAAAGAAAAGCCCATAAAAATAGTTGGCGAAGCTACACCAAGGCTCAAACATCTGTCTAGACTAGAGGTTCAAAGTTCTCCTTTCAAAAAGCCACCCACATGAACAGGTAAGGTGGTCACTTTTGCCTGACTCACGGCAGAGAGGGAATGGTGACATTAACCTTGTACCACTTGGGAGCCATTTCATTAGGGAGGCCGCTCATGGGAAGCGGGGGATGGGTACTTCACATGGAAGGTGGTGACCCTACAGGGTCATCATCAATCACCTGGGGTCACAGACCTTCCAAATTGTGAGAAGAGGCAGGGGGCCAGCGAAGGAGGGCACAGAAAAGATCAAAAGGCCTTTGATGAGGGTTATCTACCTATATAACAGGCCCTACAAAATGGAACTTCTCTGCCGTTGAAAACCTCCCAGCTCCTGAGGTTTTTGTTTAACTCGGTGCTTCCTTTGGAGAGCAGAGTCAGCAGATGGCAGAAGAGGCCCAGAGGCTGGGATTTCCATGGCGACTAACTAGTGTCACCATCCACCTGAGCGGACAAAGTACTAAGCGCAGTTTCCTTCTCCAAGCCAAGCTCCAGTAGGGAGTGGAGAAAAGACCTGCAGTTGGCCAAACAGCAGAGCAGTTTGGTGTCAGCCCCTTACCTGCCGCAAACGACCTCTTTGCTCTGTGTACAGAGCGAGCACGCAAAGGGACACTGGGAAGTAGGTCTCCTCCAGCCAGTGCCGACAGAAAGCAGCAGGGTCTGCGGGCTTCTTTCCGCGAGCCAGCCCACAGTCCCTGCTCCCACTGCCACTCCCTAATTCCCTCAGAGGACTGAAGGCGCAGGATGAGGCGGGAAGACCTGGGTGGAGTGCTGCCGAGTCAGCTCTGCTGTACTGTACACCGTCAGAGCAGGAAAGAGGCAACTTTCACTCAGATAAAGGTAGAAAAAGAGGCTTCCATCCAACTCTTGGTTACCGACATGACGGACTTCTGCGGTACAGAGTCCCCCAGCACCCATGTGGGTACCTCTCTCTCTAGCACAGCAAGGGATTAACGACAATACAATTATAATGACATACTGTCATTGAAGTGACATGTCTGTGGCCTCTCACACCATCCTGTACTCTTCACCCTTCTCCTGCTGAGACGACACAGCGCACAGGGTGAGAGGCAGTGGGTGAACGACACGGGCCCTCTAGTGCAGCATCACGCTGCCACCACCCTGAGGACGTCAGGAGGGTCATTTGCTTTCTTTTAGAGCAGAAAAGTGGGAGATACAGTAAGTCTCTGACTTTCGAACAATCGAGTTGTGAACTTTCATGGGTGTGCTATGGGACAAGACCCAAATGTCTGACTAGGAACGAATCCGACTTATGAACGCCCTCCCAGAACAGGACTCGTAAGTCCGGGGCTTACTGTATCACCAGACTACTCAGACTAATGCACAATTCACAAGCTACCAACTGCTTATTTTGGGAATTTTCGGATCATGGTTGACCTGAGTAGCTGAAACGGAAAAGTGAAACGGTGGATAAGGAAGATCGTTGTACATTCCAGAGGAATTGTGAGTCCTGAGCCGACTCTGTCCTGTCCCCAGGATACCTTTCTTTACTAGTTGGTGAGTGGGATCTTTAAGAACACAAACAATGAACATTTTAAACATTCATGATGTTTACAAAAATAATTTATTATGTTAAGAAATAAAACACACGAAAGTACAATAGAAATGGCTTTCAGATCACGGGCTGTCTTGATTAGCCATGCCCTACACGGCCCCCAGCCTACCCCCATTAGCATGGATAATTGAGAATCTGCTGCATTTCCATTTTAACACAGTCTAATTCATCTCAGGCACTAAGACAGGAAAGCAAACCTTTGGTTATTATTTCATTTTATATACATTTAGCACAAGGCACTAACCTCTGTACAGTCCGAAGAAGCCTTCATAGCGCAGCACTTTCTTAAAACAGTCAAAGCTGTTTTTATACATGAGCTCTCCCACAAAAGAGCCAGTTGATCGCTGGTTCTGCATTCGAGTTTTTACAAGGTCTATAGGATACACAGCAGTGGCTCCAACAGCTAAAATTAAACACCAACACTTCAGAGGGAATCAAGGCCAAACGGAGGAAAAGAGGAGGATAAAATCAAAGGGTGAGAAAAAGGCAAAGTTCACGTGTACAGATTTAAAAAGCATTCTACCCTTAATAAGCCATGATGGAATTTCACTTAAGCATCTCCTAATAAAAGGATGCCAGAGTTTAAATTAAAAGCCTATCACTACAGCCTAAACTCATTATTAACTTGGCTTTTGGAAGCCTGGCTGAAGAGAAGTACGAGAAAATTGTCATTTGTAAGACCCTGATTGTGTGTAGGTAGGGAAAGAAGTCCTCTTTCCTCTGGTCTGACCTTATAGGTACAGACTGGTAACTGGCTCGTAAAATAATCGGAGAAAGCTCTGTCTTGTAATACTGCAAGGTAGAAAATCAGAGAAAAGACAGAAGGAACAATAAATATGTCAACTTTACTCTCATCGACGACTAACCTCCAGCAATAGAACCCAGACCAAACCTATAGGCTGATTCCGCGACTTGTAGGAGAACCGGCCGAGCTGAATCACCCAGGGCCTTCTGCTTTGCATACACAGGATGTGAAGAGTAGGCAGGCAGGGAACACAACAAGGGGAGAAAGAAATGAGCACGTATTATTTAAAAAATCACTCACTGGATTCTCAATCTGTGATACAAGTAAAATCTGAAAGAGAAAGGCAGGGTTAAATTCCTTAAACTTGCATTAATACAAAGTTTGTATTTCTATTAATAAGTCAGATTTGAACACAATGAGTGCCATTTCCTACCAAAAATGTTATCAACCTACTTTCAAATGTTCAACTCCCACTAGTAATCAAAGGAATACAGATTTTAGAACACTCATGAAGTAACTACCATTCTTGCCTCGTTTTTGATTTATATATTTTTTGTTTTTGTTTTAAACGGCAATACCTAGACTGGCAAAGGTTGAATAAAATCGAGCTTTCTCAAACTTGTCATTAAATCCAGTGTAAGCTGAGGAAAATTTTGTAATACACACCTGAACACATGAAATGTACATAACCTGAGCCTGCAATTCTTATAGTGAGGCTAGAAAATAATCCCACATATCAACAAGGATCAAGCTTGACAAATGATAAAAATGCAGTACTCGTTTAAAAGCAAAATTTCCTAGTGACCATAAGAAGGGATTATTTAAAATATAATGCTGTAATTTTAAATGAAAATGTGTCATTAAAATTGGTTTTGTTTTGTCTTTTTGAGACAAGGTCTCACTTTGGGAGTTCAGGCTGGCCTTGAATTCACTGAAGTAGCCCAGGCTGGCCTCGAACTTGCAGTGATCCTCCTGTCTCCACCCCTCCACCGCCCAATGCTGGAACAACAGGCATGTACTACCACAGCCAGCTTAAAACGGTATTGTTAAAGGACAGCTTATGTTCGTGAAAATGTTCATAAGCTACCATACATGAAAACCAGCTAAATAAAGCATGGTAGGCAGTATAATTCTCTTTACCTTTTAACTTATAATTTTTTAGGCTTTAAAAATTTCTTTAAGACTGTGTAACATAGTCATTTTAATTAAAATTATTTGTATATATATGCATATACAATTAACACTAACGTTTTATCCCCTTCACTACCCACGATATTCAAAATGTTTGTGGTGACTATAAATATTACAAATGATTAAAAAAAAAAATATTACAAATGATTGCTACGTTTTCCTCCGCTTTGCCCATCTTTCCAAAATTCCTACTTCAGGAAGTTATTGCTGTTCTTTTGACCTCTATTATCTTTAGTGTTTCTGAGACCAGAAGATTTTAGAGTATTGCACTTCTCTGCTTGCATAAATAAAATAATAATTTTATGTCACACAGAGTTGTCAAATAAGGGTGACACACAGTCAATGCTTAATAAATACCTGTTGAATGAATAAATACATTCAACAAAATTTGTTTTTCCAAAGTCTTGATAATTAAAATCAGTGAACAATGAAAATAATCACCAGCCCTAGCTATCAACCCACTGAATTTTAGCTGCTGTCACTGTAACACAATTCTAATACAATGGGATGATTTAGAATCTCCTTCAAAGTCATCTGGCTGAAAATAGCTTTACATAGGGATATGTATTTCTATGAATGTGAAACATTTCCTCTGTAAATTCCAGGGGCTGTTTCCCATTCTGTCTGTGCAGAGATGGGGATCAGCAGCATCTTCATTGTGACAGACATATCCAAAAGAGAAGCACTACTTTATTAATGTCGATAAAAATATGCAATACTTAGAAATATTCTGGCATTGAAATAATGAGTGAAAAATACCCTGAAAGTAATGACGGAGAGGAATGTACCATCGCCACCAATTCCTCATCTGGAGACAAATGCAATCCCAGACTTTCATTTAACTTTTCAGATGCGAGAAACACAGTGTGTTCTTCAAATGACTCGAGACAGACTCCTCCCGCTTCACTCCTCTGTGGAGGACAAACGCTCCGAGGGCTGCCTGGGGTTGGGACAAGCACACTCCCCCGCAGGTGGATGACCTCCCTCGCTTGAATCTGTTAGGCCCAGTGGGGCTCATGCAGTAAAAAGCACACTGTATTCCAGGAAGGCCTGTGAATTGCTCTAAACCTCTAAGCAGCAGCCAATCATTTCCTGCTGTAAATCTCATCAAACTAGCCTAACCCTTTTGTGGCCAGTATGGACAAGCGTCCATTACAAACTCTCCAAAGCGGCAAAGGGAGTAAGGGCAAATGGTGGGAGACGACTGCCAGCTGGAGAACGAGAGCCCTAACCCAAAATCTGCTTGCTTAATCCCCAAATTTCTACCATAGTCGGTGTCATACAGACAAAGAGATAATCATCTCATAAGCATTGTTTAGAATCAAAGGGAGGGAAAGGAACGTTGCTTCCACCTCTGGACGTGATTATACAGCTCTTTCTCCTGCACTGAGGGAAATCAGCTTCCTCTTTTAACCACAGCCAGCTGGGTTGCAGAGGTGCCTCGTTAGGCTTTACTGAGCACACACCCACTACCCTGACTTACATGCTGCACACAAAATTCGCTGCTGCCTTTGGGTGGGAAGGAGCTAAAAGGAGGGGGTCCTGGCTCCAGGCCTGACAGTCCTAAAAATGTAGCCCGCATCAACCCATTGTGGTCAAACTGGCGTCTCTGTACAGACCCAGAGCCCCAAGCCAAGAACAGCGAGGTCTCAGAGGATTCAGAGATGGCTTTGCCTTAAAGGAGGTATTTTTCTAAAAACGACACTCTGTCTGTGAGGGGATTTATTTTACAAATGCTGTGCAAACACAACACACGTTCTGAAGGCTTTTCTTCTCTAAGCCTGACCAACAGAGTCGAGCAAGAGTTAAACGAGGAGGTACCGTGTCTTAAGTTTTGGACTCCCTTAACTTCAAGAGATTGGTTTCTGTTAACCATAAAATAAAATTTAACATTCCTAAAATTGTTTCCACATAACTTATGAATCTTTTCATAGAGAAAATAGGTCTAAAAGCCTTCAAACTACGACTCCAGACTAAACAAAATTATCTCGTTTTGATAGTCAGAAAAACAGAAGGCACGGCAGTCAGACAGCGCGCTGACAGAGAGCCACTCTGCAGAAAGAGATGGCTTTCATTTAGCAATGCACAGGGGCGGACAGGGACAGGGACACCAACCCGGGGCTGCCCCCCACATCCTTCAACTTGAGGTTTAGGGAAGAACTGATCTACACATTTTGGGAGTATCCGGCTTCCAGTGCATGAGAAAATCAACCCATCCTTGAAAGAAAGAAACAAATGGCAATATCCGCGCATCAGAAGGTCTCTAAGTAATGTCTCTTCTCAGCCTTCTAAAATGATCTGGATTTGGGTTGCAGGATGGAAAACTGTAAGTCAGATACCAGTACTAGAAAGGCAAGAGCTGGTGAAAAGGGGCTCGGGCGTCTCACTAACGGAAGAGTAGCAATCTGTTCCCTCCACTCACCTGCCTCTGGGCCTCAGCCAAGTTGAAGGGCAGAGTTCCCTCTTCCAGAGGGGCGATTCGCTCAATATCTGCTAAAGTCATTCGTCTGTGGGGAAAACAAGGGCAAGCAGCAACGAAAGAGAATTTATTAAGTTTAAATTATGGAATTGTGAAGTGTCCATTTTGTCATTTACCATATTTGGGTGTTGCCTTTCAGTTGGCTTCTTTTTCTCCTGATCGCTGTCCTCCTCCCACCCCTACCTCCTAGCCTCCTTTTATTAAGCTAATTAAAAAAAAAGCCAACTTACCCTCTTGGCTCATATAAATCTGCTAACTGAAACAAGATGTCTACTTCCATGGGTGTAACCTGACCAAATTTCTGAGCTGCCAGAACAAACTCCTCTGTATGGAAAAAAGTTAAAAGGAGAAGATTGAAGAAGGAATGGCATTAAATTCAGGGTAAACTCAAAGGCACTAGAATAAGTGAACATCACAAAACTTCATTATTATCAGTCACAGAATCCAAGTAAACCCGAACAGGGGGAGAATTTCTGCAGTTCTGTCATTCCCTTGGGAAGAGCATGCAGACTGCTTCCAGCATTCCGCCTCGAGCTCAGTGTCGTCTGAGCAAACGACACAGGGTGTTTTCAGATGTCAGTGCAAGAACAATCAGCAAGCAAGCACATACGAAGCTTTACACGCACAGATCCCAAGCATGTAAATTCTTAGGTGGAATTCCTAAGTGCATTCTCTGTTTTAAGGACAAAAAGCCCATTAAACATAATACAGCATCTTGCTCAAGTTCCTAGATAACTTACACGGTCTTCAATACAAGTTTGTGGAATTCCTCATGTAATTTGGAAGGGCACGTTAGAGGCTGTCAATTGAGCTCAAGTTCTAGCAAGGTCTGAAAATATTTAAGAAACTTTACATATTTTTCTAGTTCAAATGCTGTCTTCAGTTTATTTAAAACTTGGTGAGGACTGTTTTGTTTGTCTGATCAAAGGGTGGAGGCCACACATACCATCTGGTTAGTATGTACGAGTGTGAATGGAACAGAAAGATCTATAACATATATATACTCCTGGGCGTCTCCTTCTCTCTCTCCCCACCACGCTTGCCGGCAAGAATTCAGATATACTCTCACTCACCCTTGGTGACTTCCACATCTTTCCTGGTGCCAGCCAAAGTGCTGTAGATCTTTCTAATGAGTTCCATGTTGTTAAGAAGCGAATTAAATCCATTAAAATAGGAGAAACTAACTTGATGCGATGTGGTACCTCCAGCAGCCTTGGTAAATTGGGAATAGGAGAGAGAAGAAAAAAGAAGATTTATAGGTGAAGAAGATTCGGAAATACATATTATATCTAATGCTAGCTGGGAAGTAATCAAGAATGTATGTATAAGAAGACATGACTGTTAAGTATTTTTCTTTCATATTAAAATAAAAGAAAGCTATAAATATTTTCTAAAAGTAACTGAAACTAATCATGACCAGAACTTGTACTTTCCACATACAACCCCCAGAAAACTAAATAAATACATGTGTAGGATTTTAACAAGATCAGTAGTAATTTACAGAGTTCGAATTTCAAATGGAAATGTTTTATAAGTTGGTTTATTTCATCTAATGAGCAAATCTTAAAGGCTTACACATACAAAAGTAAATTATACACATGCATATGCTTACACAGGCGAAGGTGTGTATCAATGTAATCACGCTGTGAAAGTGGTTATCTAATATTAATATAAAGAATTGTCCAACACCTTACAACCAGCAATAAATAATCATTTAAGTACAGACTTTACTTTGGTGGGATCTTTAACCGAGAAGCATATTATGGTAAAAATACGAGATGTCATACGCTTGAATGGGGGTTAAGACTGGTCAGGATTCTGTTAATCAAAATTTTTAAGAAGCCATATTTCTTCACAGGGGACCAGGGAAAGAGACAGAATGTCCATTATGCATGGAACTTCAGTCTGAGGTTTCAAAATCTATCTTCCCCTAACAAGGCAAAATATTTTTATTATGAAAACACTTCTTTATAAGGTAACAACCCTCATAAATCTTCACTTCGTAATCATTTAAAATAGCTGATGCACGATTTAGTATGGAGCAGGAACGCGGGGCCAAGGAAAGGAGCTAGAGTAACACTGTGGCAGGGAGGAAAAGGCCAGGTCTGAAGGCCACGTCTACAGAAAGAAGCAACCCAAAACAACAATGCGGGAGAGTGATGAGTTCTTACACATGGTGAGCATGGTGAGAAAGCCATCTGGTAGTAAAACACTTGGTCTTCTACCTGGGATTAGCAAAAGGGAAGCTACCACTGGCAAGCGGTTCCCAAACCTGAGTGACATCATCAGAATCCTCTAGAATCTTTCCAAACATTCTAAAGAGCTCACTACCTATAGGCAGTGAAGACCAAGCCTAGAACACACCTAGAATCTATATTCGCAAGAAGCACCCTGATGATTCCGGTGCTCCGCGACCAATGGTTGGGAATCACCCTGCAGATGGTACAGGGCACCCCAGGGCCTCTGAGGAAGGGCAACAGCTGGACACCCTTTGGGAGGGAGGCTCCATGACCCAGGACAGCATCACCCTGCTCGCCACAGGTGCTACTGCAAGCTTCAACACACATATGGAGAATGAGTGAACCAATCCAAGGTTTCTGCTCTGCTCCCTACTGTAACAAACAGTACATACGTGTGAGCTTTTTCTTTGTGCCCTAAAGAGCAGGCGAGAAGATCAGTACTTGACATACCTCAAAATAAACGTGATCACTGATTTGTTTTTCCTTTTCTCTTTAACCAGTTAATATAATTAGTCTCCCGTATCTATTGGTTCTATATCCATGGGTTCAATTCAACTAACCGCAGATTGGAAGATTTGAGGGGAAAATTGCCTCTGTACTGAATACATGTACTTCCGCCCCTTTTTATTCCCTAAACACTACAGAAGAACCACTAATCACATTACATTTACATTGTATTTGTGATTTTAAATAATCTAAAGATGGTTTAAAGTATCAAGAAGATAGGCACAGGTCATATGCAAAGACTATGTCATTTTATGTAAATGAGTTGAGCATTTGCAGATTAGAATACAGGGTTTCCAGAACCAGTTCCCCAGAGGCACCATGGGACCACTGTACATTTTTCTAAGATATTCCATCTAATCCACACCACAAATTAACTCATCTATTAAAACTAGCCAAAATATACTTGTTTGTAAGCTTGATAATAAAAGCAATCATGAGGGGCTGGGGATTTAGCTCAGCAGCACAGTGTCTGCCTGGCAAGCGCAAGGTTGTGAGTTCGATTCCCGGTACAGGAAAAAAAAAAAAAATGAAAGCAATCATGATAAGAAAACATTTAAATATTTTAAACAGAAAAAAACCCCTACATAATTTATAAGACTTGCTCGTTATAATCCCTTATTTACTTAGCTTAAACCGGGTAGAACAAATTATTTCCTTAGGGCCAAGTCACAACTTACAGCTACTAAACATTCTTCTACAAATGGCGTCAAGACGTGGGGGCGGATGGTGACCATGATGTTGTGAAAGTCGATGGCTGTGACTCGTCCCATCTTGGCGCTGTCACGCTGCACAAACGCTTGTTTTGCATGCTCCAGTTGTATTTCCTACAAATGCAAAGGCGAGACACTTAAATTTTGTTTCTTACTTAATTACGACAAATGACTGTTCATTTTCAAAATGGGCTGAAGAAATGTAGACTACATCCTGATTGAATAAGCCCCGGCTTGTAGCTTATTGGGGTCCCTAAGCTACCATCTTCTTCTTCGAGAGAGAACGTTGGTCAAATCACTGAACATCTCTTGAGAAAGTGCGCCTCATTTTAAATTTCCAACCCAGGAAACCAAACTGCTTCCATTCTGCAACAATTTGAACCACAAAGGTAATGAAAGCTGGAGTCAAGTTTGGTAGGTTCAAGGATCTGGCCACATCCAGCCGAGATAAAACAGACTCAAAGAAAAAGCATGTAGGAAGATTAACCTCTAGCCAAGGAAGAGCAGCTCTTAAGTATGACGCAACAACAAATTAAGAGGGGTCTTTCCTGGAATATGCTATTCCTGTAACAAAGGGTTTCTCAGCCTGGCACTACTGACGTTTTGGGCAGGTCAAGCCTCTGTTATGAGAAGCTGTCCTACGCTTGCCCTCCCCGCTTGCTTCTAGAGGCAGGTAACCCCTTCCCTCCCAAGGTTCTGCCATTCACGAATGACTTGGAGAGAACCACACAGGTTGAGAACTGCTGCTCTGAAATAAGGAGCTGGACAACATGTGGATCAGAGGCACAAAACCGTACCCTCCGGATACAGATTTAATTCATATGATCTGAGGTAAGAATGTGTACTCATAGAGCTCTGCGACTATTCCCAGGGAGTAAGTGCCTACACAAAACCGAATCTGGCTTCCGCTGGAAGCTCACTATGCTCCACACAGCAGAAGCACCCCCTCTGCAGAGCGCATTTCAGCGTCTTTCCCAGGACACTCTGCCTCCTGCCCAACAGGCCCTTAGAGAGAAAGCTAATTTCTCTGCAATTAAAAAGTATCACTGAAGTGGCTCTCAAGGATTTCAAATTACTTAAATGAAATTAGTTTTTATTACATGATATTAAGGAATTAATTTTGTAACTCTGGTGAGCTAATAACTTCTAAATGTATAAAGATTAATGTCCTTATGAATGTGTGACAACTGACATATAAGAGAAATGATATGCTCTCAAGTATTTTGTGTCCCTCTTCTTGCTACACATAGGTGGGAAGATGAAATAGCTTGACGAAATACTGAACAAGACTGAAGCTAGGTACAGAGCACACGGGGAAGCGTTATACTGTCCTTCTCCTCTACTCTCCCGTAGTCTGAAAAGTGTAATTATAAGAGTTAGGAATAAACAATACATAAAACTCAGAGCCTTCAGAAGTCTCTGTGCTACAGGACTTGTCCCTGCGGCCTTCTAGGGTGGAACGCACTCGCTCCTTGAATGGGCAGTGTCCGGCAGTCCTCTGCCCGGAGGACTCGTCACTCTGCTTCTGAAGCGAAGTGCTCCTTGCCAAGTCCTCAGAGATCCCTTGTGAGTTAAGGCTTGACTTCCACATCAAACCTCCCACTCATACCTGCCGGACCAAAATTTGTAACTACTTATAGAACGTACCCTGGGAGTACCTCATAAAGGCCATAAAACTACACATCGCTAAGCCCACTATGACGGTGTCTCCCACCTGACACTCAAAGCTGGTCCCTAGTCCGTGTTATTTGCGTAGGTTTTCTGGTCACCTCACCTAAAAAACTTTCAACTCTTCAAGCTTCCTTTTTCCCAAGAGAAAACCAGAGACCAAGTTATATCTTGGGCCCTTGAAATTTTGCTCAAAGCATCTTTTCCTTTTGTGCCAGTGCTACTGGTTCAGGGCCTCCTCAGGCCTTGTCTGAATTACCACTACGGCCTCAGCCATCAGCCTGGAGCGTCTCCACCACCTGTGCGGTCTGCCTTGCCCACATCAAGGCACCTTTCAGAACGGCAGATCGGACCTCTACCTTCTCTGCAGAAAGCTCTGCTGGTCCTTCATCGTGAGACCTATCTGCAGTCCAGGGCACTTGAGACTCTACAGGAACTACGCTCAGCCTGTCTCCCACCACCCGCCCCGTGTCCAGTCCTGCTCCCACACATACAATAAACACAGCAAAGCGTTCTTGAAAGTCACTGCCCTGAGTCCACGTGACCCCCCGCATGAACCTCATATAAGACCTGTCTTACTGCTTCTCACATTAGATCTTTGTTGACATTCTTGTTGTCCTACTGTCTTTGCCAGGGAAAAGGGATTCTGCCTTGTTTCTGCGTCTCTCGCTTATGCTGCTGGGGTAGAATGGTTGAGGTACAGCCAGCACTCATATGACAGCTATTATTATCAGTGATCGGCAGCCTATAAAACCAACTGTATAAACAAATTTCAATCTATTGAACAAAACAGGGTTCTCTGTATGACTGCCTCCAATTCAAGAAGGAAGGAACTGTTAAACACCCTAGAGTGAGAAATGACCACAGTATGTATTCAATTGAAAGTAAATTGAATTGAAAGTTTCCTCCAAATTGCTAGAGCCAATGCTTCAGCTATCTCTCCACAATACCAGAGGTATGTTCAGTCATTTATCGTTTTCCCTAGTTTATAAACTCGGAGTCTTAGCCGCCTTCAGAGCATTACAAGCATCACAGTCCTTGGCCACTCCATCTCCACAGAAAGCAAGAAGCCAGAACGCTAAGCCCAGCCTACCTAGCATGCCAAGTTGAAAAGAGAATGTCATAGTGGGGGCCACCGCTCACACTGCAGGACGAGCATGTGTCACAGGGACAGTACATATTCCTGTGCCTACACTAGTCTTTTTTATTTTTTTTTTAATTGAGAGGAAATCTTTCTATGTTGTCCAGGCTGGCCTTGAACTTGTGAACCTCTTGCCTCATTATCCTGCGTGCTGGGAACAGAGGTGTGCACCATGACAACTACCTACATTTTCCTGATTAAATTATTTACTAGCTGGGACCGTGTGATCGTGCAATAAAAGAGCTGTTTTCACTCTGATGATGAACAACTTGAGAATACAGTTCCAACACCTCTTAAAGATTAAAGATATTCAACTCCATGCAGAACAACAAGCTGGATCTATGTAGTTCTCTCACTAGTAGCATAGAGTGGAAACACTCAGGTGGTTTCCAAACTGTATAGTACATTATTGAAGGTACAGGCTTTGCCATCTTCTGTGGCTTGCTAATTATGTCATGGCTGTTTCTTAATGTGCATAAAGAAATGAAACTATCATCACTGCCAGTACAACTGCAATGATGACCTGTTATGCAGCAGACACGGTCCTAAAGTGCTTTATAAACATTAACACATTCTGTACTCACAGCAACTCTCTGTGGCGGCTTTATCACGAACCTCGCTGAGGAAACAGCGCTCCCTCTCCCTCCCCACACTGTATGGGAGGTCAGTGCTACTGTTACAGATTTGAGTAAGTCACGTATGTGACACGTAGGATTCTGCAGACCTGTGGACAGACAGAAGCTGCATTTGCTTTTAAGTTACTGTTAATGCTCTCTAGATTTTGCTGTTGCCTATTTTCATGGGAAAACGATGTCATTTCCCAAACGTTTTCCACTACAGCAAAAAACTATGCACCTAGATCGCCAGGTCCTCTCTGCTAACAGTTACAGAGAACATGGGAGAGAAAGCAAATTTAACAGACTTCTCCGGTCCTTACACACTTTTTGCTCTTTCAGCCTCAAGAGACTGAGGAAAACAAAGAGGCCTGTGGAACTACAGTTCAGTAACTCTAAATATTTTATTCAAGAGTTTGTTGTTTTTTAAATAAATTCCCAGGCTCGCTACTTATGGCACAGCGAATTGAAATCAAAGCTCTCATGGGCAGCTTCATGGCTGTTTAAGAAAAACCCAATGTATATAAAGGGCTACTAAAAGACTGATGGTTCCTAGATGTGAACCCAGAAGGATTAAAACTGGGACCTAGAACTTCTACTGCACAGGGAATACAGCATATGTCAAACAACACTCATCCGGTAAGCAGAGGGGACCAGAACAGGCAAACAAGTTCTATGCACGGGGCCAGGAGCACAATGGGAGAAGCAACTGTTACACGCAAGTATTCAAAGGTTAAAAAACTACGGGGTTAAAAAAAATGTTAGGCTGCCTCTCTGTAGTTCTTTCTTAAAAAAAAAAAAAAAAAAAATCAATGGAAAGGAAGTACTGGGCCAGGTTTTTGCACAATACACTGGAGTATTAACCTATAAAATTACTAAGCAATCAAGCCAGCTACTTTGCAGAGTTGCAGGTTCCACGTCACTGGAAATGTCTGTTCAACCATGGACTCAGGGACGTACGTCAAGGGTTTCCTTTGTTTTCAGCAGGGGGTCAGGGGAAGCACTGTTATGGCGACAACAGCATGCATCGTGGGGCAGGGATGGTGGTGCAGTCATGCGGTGTAGCCTGGGAGAACTCAGGCGATCATGTTTGTGTCTCAGGCTGGAGTTCTTCCTCCACAGAGCAGGCATAGCAACACTCGCTGGAAAGGCTAAAAGTTACGCATGACAGGCATTTAGTAAGTGGCAGCTTTCATTTTTGTCAAGGTGAAAGGTTTTATAACCTAAAAGTCCTTTCTACTATGGAAGAAGGGTTCCGTTAAGTCACTGTGAACTAGCCACAGGAACAGAAGATCCACCTCAGACGGGGGAGAACAGTAACAGTTGAAGGCTTAAATACTTATGTAGGCCCCAAGCTATGCCAAGAATTTCAATGACAGCATTTTATTCAGGCCTCACGATAACTCCGAGAAGGAATTCTCATCATTATCTGTACAGAGAGACACCTGCCGCTCAAGAAGGTTACATAACTGGCCTAAAAATCACACAGCACAGAAGCAGTAGAGCTGAGATCTATACTCAGGAAAGTCTGCTCTCAGAACTGAGATTCTTCACTGCTGACTCATCCAGCCTGGGGCAAAATCATAAATGAGGGGACCAGAAGCAGGTATGGATAGGTAACAGGAAGAGAGAATGCAAGAAAAGTTTTGATGGTAAGTTGAATGCTATAAAAATGAAGCCATATGTATCTT